CCCCCACGTGGGTCAGCAGGGGGAACACACAGCCAGCAGCTCTTCCTCTGCGGCATCCGTTCTTCAGACCAGTCTCATCACCGCATAGGCCTGGGCTCTTGGTGAACACATTCATACCACTGTCTGCGCAGAACAATTGCAGTACCAAAATTCATGTGCTACCCTCCTGCCTACCAGGGTCTTCACAAAAACCCTACATCACTGTAGCAAACATAAAAGCACTATAGTAAGAGTAGTCCAAAACCTTAAATACAAAAGCAAGGGAAAAAAAAAACCCAAAGAAATATGTTTGCTTAAGTCAAAGAACTAAAAGACCTTAGTGCTTTGCTCCAAAATGCAGCATTTGGATTTGGAGTAAAAGAATCACTTGTTTACTTGGGGCTCCTCAGCAAAAATAAGAATTCATGTTTTGAGCGAATAGCACATCCGCGGCCTTTTGAATTGCTGTTGGCATTATATTCAGCACTGGTATCCTTGAATCACGTTAGTTATTGCTATTCTTAACACACCTGAAAGAATTTAGCTTAGAAACTCAAGTTTAATGAATTTACATAGCTACCGCACAATAAGAGCGGAGTGTGTCAAACATCATTACCCCAACAAGCTGTCCATTTCAGTGCACTACTAACAATTGCTCCCCATTGAGTAAATGGCAAGCACCATCATTTTTAGGTGTTTCCTACTGGGAGATTTAAATACGAACTACACGGAGAAGTCTTTTCCCATAAATGTATTTACCTGTCTACTGGCTTAGCACATTTAGACAAACGATAAATTACTTGCTATGTCTGCTTTCATCTCGTTTTTGCAAACACATTCCCAGCTTTACAGTAGCCAAGGATTACTGCACTCATTTTTGAACAGGAGTAATACACACTGTGAAATGCACACTCCAGCCTTAAGTGTCTGATTGTAGGATCAGGGCTTACTACACATAATACACTGGAGCCCTGATGAATTGTTTCCAATGAGACTCCACAAAGGTTTGGACTGAAGGAGCAAGGCTTCCATTTTAATATAATTTTATGTTTCCTTGGTTTATTTTAGTTTTTTTGGTACTGCGTTTACATTTAATGTACTTAAACACTCCCAAATTCTTTCAAATTTCTGATAAAAGGTCATCTGTGAACTATCATAAACTAATAGGATTTTTCTAATCCTCTAATATAAGAATGAGATGCAGTTTACAGGCTGCTTCTGCATTGCAATTAGAAGATATGATTGCAGCAGGCTAGATACACTTCAGTTACATTTAATTTTGTTAGTCTCAAATAATGGGAGTTAAAAATACAGAAACATGGACTGGACCGCAGGCTATTAACCTCAGTAAGCATCTCAGGTGCAAAATAAGCCTGTATATCCCTAACTGAAGACTATGCTACCATAGTTTCACTGCTCCTGGTACATGAACTGGTGAAATTAAAGCTAGCACATGCATGTCTACACAAGCTATAATTTGACTGCAGCAGGCATACAGGAAGAAAAGCATTTTGCTCGTTTTTCAGATCAACAGTGTTTCGTGCAAATATCCGTGTAGAATACTGAGAGCTACCACTTCATACTAATGTTTATATAATTCTAGAGACGACACAAAATAATCTCCTTTCCTTTACTCTCAATAAGCCTGATGTTTCTGGGGATCTGCTGTACGGGCCTTTGAGAAAAAAAAATTTCAATGATTCAAGAAGCAACCAAATACTGATTAGAGGCTTACTGCAGACAAGAAGTCTGAGCAAAGACTATTTCATAAAAAGAGAAATTCTATATTCGATTGTTAAACAGATGCCTCATAAAAAATGCAGAGGAGACTAACACTACAACTGAAAACAGCTTAAGTCTGTTTTGAATTATCAGAAATGTAACCAGAGAACTTTTTTACTATTGCAGCAAAATTGCAGTGTATTTTTAAATTTAGGATTAGCACGCAGTATTTTGTTATAAGCTAGACTTAAAAGGCTCCAAGATACAAGGGAGATACAATAGAAAACATAAAAGACAGAAATGCTGTTGCAATGTCAAAAAAATAAGTAAAAATACAAGCTTTTTTTTTTTTTTTTTTTTCATTCTATCCTTGAAAAGGTTCCGTCACTCATCACCACAATATATTTCAAATTTACATCACGATATTGTTGGTAATTATAACAAAAAATTTTCTTCTGAAAAAGAAAATGAAGACACTAAAAAGTTACAGGAACTTTTTATTTAAGAGACAACTATGGAAAGTTATTTCAGGGTCGTGTCATGACTGATCAGCAATGTATTATTTTACCTATCACATATAGTCCCTATGCTACTGCTCCTGTCAGATTTACAAGACTACATCACACATGTTCAGGCACTTCCAGTGCTGGATTAGACAGTAAAATCCTTAAACTCACTTTTAAAATCTTCAGTTCAAGACTCACAAGCAAATGAGATCATTTTGATAAAAACGTAAACACAACTTTTGTGCTGAGGTAGCTGTATGATGAAAACTAACTGACAATCTTGAAAAGCTTAGTGACACTCACTAATAAAAGTGTTCCTATCATTCCCAGGAAACTTTGTTTTCTCCATAATGCAGAAGCTTTAAAGCAACAAACCAGCAATACGGAAAGAAATATTTTTCCTGTTGAAACCAATGAACTCATCAATAAATATATTAAACCAAATGCTATTTCATAACAACTCCAAACAGCAGGCAAGTAAAATGATTCTCAGTTAAAGAAAAAAAAAAAAAGGCATCTATGATACAATTTCGAGCACCTTTTAAGTTAGTTCTTCACTGTAAACAAAGCGGACATCCATTTAGCAGGAGGAAAAACAATCTTCAGTAAATGCCCCACTTAGAAAAAACTAATTTCAGATACAGTTTTGCCAAATTCATTTTGGAATTAACTGCAGAAAAGAGGTGAGGGAAAAATACACACTTTTTGCCCAAAGTCTGTGTGTTACAATTGCACATCTTCTTTAAAAAGTTACTTACACAATTAGGGCAAAGATAAACAGCCACAGAAAGGAAATCTTTGCAGGAAATCTTTCAAGCCTCTCAAATAAAATTGCTAAGTTTTCTTCAGGTTATATAAATTACTCCTTTGAGAGATCACAAGGATATGGGAATATGCTTCTAATAAATGGCAGAAATACATTCAGACCCAGCAAACTGAATTCATACCAGCAAGCCCATGCATTAGTTGACAAAGACAAAATGGTACGACTTTCCCTGCAACTTAACAGAGCATAATAAAGAATTTTTTTAAAGAACAGTATTTCTGAACTACTCTTAATAGCAAACAAAAATATTCAGAGCGCTCCTTGAAGATGATTCTGACACACAGCTGACAGAAAAAATTCACCAGGAAATAAGTGCAAAAAATATTGTAGGTATTCTGAGTATTAAATCTATGCACATAATGGACTACAGGTTCTATTGAGTACGAATGTAACTAAGGCAAGAAAATACGTTACATCCAGGAGTCTTTACAAGTATTTGGGTTTGTTTACTACTGTTGTCATTAGCAAAGACGAAAATGAGGGTAGCGTGCAGTGTTCCTAATGAGTTTTGCACTGTTTCTGTAAGCAGACAAGCTAACGCAGATCTTTTAGCCTATACAGACTCTAAAATATTTACGAGCACGCCCATTTGCAAGAGTAGAGCCTTATGTCTTTATCTATCGCCAATACAGAACAATTAATTCATTTCTCAGAACTGCATTACGCAAAGGCAGAACTGTCAGTTCAAGACTTGAAATAACTTTTAAAAGTAGCTGAACGAAAACATAAACCTGTGTGTTTCTTATTTTATGGTTATGCTATTAAAAAATAAGTACGTCATACTGGTGAAATAAAGATTAGTGTGTAATTGTTCTGTTATTAGAAGCGTGTAAACAGCAGCCAATACACATAGTAAGAAAAAAACCCCAAAGAATATTAGATGATTAGATCTAAGAATCTACTGCATTTTAATCCAGTTTGGTATACCATATACTGCTCAGTGTGACGACATCCCAGGGAAAAATACAAGTCAGACGCTAGGTGCTCCACTGTAATATTTAAACAGGGAAACATTTCCTGGGAAGAGAAAATACAGTAATCTGAGGGGCCTATTTAATGCCAGACTGTATCATCAGACCCAAACAACTTTTGTGTAAGAATGGTTAGGCAGACCTGTTTGATGAAGATCAGAGCTGGGTAGGGCTGCACAATACTGTTCTAACTAGTAACATTTTTTTTGATATCAGAAAGGTATCACCTGCCAAATTGGAGGTTTCTACAGTAAACCTTAAAACTGTACCAGACCAGTCTATACAGAGATTGCAGCTAAGAAGGCACAGCACCATACACACATGGAGTTATTATAATTCTGTATCAACATAATCCTAAATTATAACGCTGCTTATATCACTATGTCCCCCCTGTGTAGATTAGGCCTAAAATGTTGTTTTTCAGGCTGGAGTACTTGGGGACTTTGTTCCCCAAAAATATCCGAATTTATAAAACAGGGGTCTGCATGGGAGTTTACATTCTCCCCACATCACTGCGCTTAATCTCCGAAACACTGCCAGAGTCCCACGGTTTTCTGGACACCAGCTACCCGAAACAACCCGGCTTCGCTGCGAGGGGAAGGCTGGCACCTTTTGTCCGTGTTTACTCGGCATTGTTGCTCGCCCTGCCCACACAGGCTCTCCCGTTTGCGCCCGTCTTTCACAGAAAAAGAGGGAAGCGAGGTTTGTTTCTGCGTGCGTGTGCCTGCGTTTTTCTTCAGCGAGTAATTGCGAATCGCATCACGCGCACAAGTTGACAGAGTGGATAAAGGGGGAAAAAAAGAAAATAAAAGAGGGAGAGGGGGGGTTTTCCCCTTTGTGTGTTTTCCAACAGCCCA